TCTTGTAGATCAGTGGTTCTCAACCTTTTTAATGCCGTGACCCCAACCGGTCGTAAGTCGAGGACTAAACCGGTCGTAAGTCGAGGACTACCCAACTGGTCGTAAGTCGAGGACTTTCCCTGCCCGGGAGCGCCGTGCATGCGTGGTTCCGCCCCCTGCACCGACCGAGGCGTAGCTGGCAAGCGGCAGAGACGGAGCAGGCCGACCACCAGCTGGCCCAGCCCAAGGGATGTAAGGCACCCACAGGAAAAGGGGAAAAATGGCGGACAAAAAAAATGGCGGATAGCCTTGCTTGGCGACCCCCATGAAATGGTCGATCGACCCCAAATGGGGTCCCGACCCACAGGTTGAGAACCACTGTTGTAGATGAACAAGATTATGAACTGCAGACTCAACTGACTTATGTCTCCAGGCTCTGCATGGATATTGCTCAAGGGAAAAAGGCAAGGAGGTGGCTAAAGGGAAGAATATTTTTTTGTGTGTCAGCATTATTGTGTTGTTCATTATCATCCCTAGCCAACTTCTTTCAAGATTCTGTGGGGAAATGATAGGTGGAGGAAAATGGCCTTCTCAAAGGCTACACCCAATGGTGAAAGTTTCAAAGACTCAGACTAACACCCCCTCTTTGGTGATGTCTTGTGTGTTGATTAAAGCCGTTAGTTTAGGTAGATGTTCATTCCATCACCTGTGTATGTTTTATCTGTCATTTCCTCCTAATTTTATTAATTTTTTTCACAGATTTTTCTATTCAAGTCCCTATGATTCTGAAGAGGTGAAAATCTCTGGATGTATCCTTCTTTGTTTATCTTTTTTACAGTGTGATTCGAACAAAAATTATTTTCCTGATAATTAACAGGTACCTTGGCCATTCTGACACCACTTATCTTCAATAGTTGCTTAAAGACGAATGGATAGTAGTTACAGCACAGGTAACTAGATACTGCGTAGCAGCACTAAAGATTCTCTGGAACCTGATGAATAATCCATTATAACCATTTTAAACAACTAATGCACTGAACTTTTTGATATTATTACCCTGTTATACTTTAGTAACTAATAGCCATAGGCCTTCACAATTTAAGGACTAATATTACATTATAGCTTAGGCTGTGCTCTTGTTTACAGTCAACTGATAAAACTGTCAATTATGACTTGAACAGATTTTATTTGTTGTTTGTTGTTTTATTCTAGATTTTCTGACTAGATATTCTGAGCATTTTTAATTGTACTGGTCTTTGACTGTAATAAATATTTGACTGACTGACTCTTCTTTTCAAGGTGGTTAATTTTATATTGGATTTCATTGTTAAGATACCTCAACAACTACATAGGTCCTAAAATATCAGGAAATAATTTTTTAAAAGAATGATATTGTAAGTATATTTAAAGGCCTACTTCAAACATTAATGTATTGGACCAAATATAAGAACTACCTTAATATGTGATGACCCAGGGCACAGCACAGAGGCAATGCAGTCAGCTGGCAATTCAAACCGCCCTTTAATTGCTCCAAATTTTCCCCAAATGCTCCCACACACACACCTTCAGCCGCCTCTGGATGCAAGTAGTTTCACATAGTCTGATTAGGAGAGGAATTTACTCAAGGCCATGGAGATAACAAGGAATGACACATAAATCATAAACCTTAGGAGTCTGTGTGAATACACGCTTGCCTGAGCAGTTTCAAAAGGGAAGCCAAAATACAGTCTGAGATCTTTGAACATCTAAGCAACGTTGTCAGCCAGTCCAATGGTCAGAGTTTCCGGGTTTCCAAGCAGAAGTCACAGAACAAGAGATCAGCAACAACATACACAAAACTCCAAGGAATCAGCATTTGTTCCTGACAAATGCCTCTCCCCACAGCATCTCCTTAAATCTGTCTCCAGGTGTGCCTTGTGGAGAGGGGCAGGACGCTCTCCTCCCGAGTAGTTGAGCCTGCCTGCATTGTTCCCTCCTCTCCACTCTCTGCGCTCTAGGATCAGGTGGGGGTGCCCCTTGCCCATCGCCTGAACTCTTGTCTCTCCTGTTCATCCTGTCCCAATCCTGAAGGGCCCTGGCCTGCCTCGGCCTGCTTCAGGCTCCGACGGAGGCATGACATCGTATGTTCTGCCTAAGGCATTTCAGATTCAAAAACAGAGCCAAAGAATCCTTCTTTGAAGCAAGTTGCTTCAACCTGGCCCACCATAGAGCTGGTTCTACATCCTCTATTACTTTCAACCCTTTTCTTCTTATGGTTTTCTGTACTCTGGGTTATTTTAAACTATAGCAATGCATTTACAAAAGAGTTTTAAAGAAAATGTTAGTTTCTATGCTATTTAAAAATGTAAAAGGTGGAAATATTTGGCAAAACTAACTTCTGTATCCAAATTCCATTTTATATCTTGATCTGGTTCAGCAGCTAAGCAAGTTTTGAGCCTAGGATTTCACAATTTCTGAACCATTTAGTTAAAAATCTTATGAATTTGCAATGAGAGAGAGTTCTAATCGAGTTTCACCAATTTGGTGCTGTCCTAACATGCTGGGATTATAACTGATATGTGCTGTCCCAACATGTTCATAAATGCTAGGTTGGGGAAGGCTGGAGTAATTTGGGGGAAATTATTAGTTTCTACAGTGAATATATGATTAGAATCCATCAAGAAATGAACCTGAATCAAGTCATTAACTATGAAGGTATTATTTATTAATAAGGATGACCACCTAGAATTTTGAGATTATACATCATACATGGTTCAGTACAATTCTTTTTTTTTCTTAATCATTGCATCTAACCTGTCTCGATATTCATCCTTTTTCAACAGTCCAACAAGCAAATACAAAATTGCACATGAATTATAAACATACTGTATTCACACATTAATTTTATTTTTGTCTTATGTTTGGAGAAGACTTTTATGGTAATTCATAGTATTGCCCGGAGATGGGCAAAATTAAGTCAATTGAGGTCAATAGAGCATGCAAAAACCTGTGTAGATTGTAATAAAAAAACCTATAAGAAGACCTTAATCGGGACAAGGTTTTGAGAAAAATACTGGCTTAAAATTTTGACTTGTTTGTGATGGTAAACAGAGGAACATATTTTACTTGGTAAAGGGGAAAGCACAAATGCTCCAAACATGTGGTCTGTAATCTGCTATGTCCTTGGAAAGAACGTAGTCTGCTGTCTATTTCCTATAGTATAAAAATATAATATAAATATAAAAATTGTTTGGGAAATCCAAATCTTTTTGTGAGCCCATACTTCTATTCTCACTCTATCAGTTTCAGTTTTTTTCTCTTACCATCCCAATTCCAATATATGAAGTATCCATGAGACCGCTGATAGAATAGCTACATGGATGTTCTTTCTTGTGGACTACCAATATCTGTCCCCTTGCTTTTAAACATGCTCTTTGGACTATAGTTGTATGTGCCTATGTCCTGGAGACAGGACAAACATGAGCTATCTGATAATAATTACATTTTAATGAATATTTGAAAAAATACTTTCATAGAAATGTTATCTTAATTAGAAAAACAATGTCATAGTTAAAAAATAAAGCACACTATACACAGCAACATGCTTGTATTTACTATTGTGTACAGATATTATTAACAGGTATATACAGGTCGTCCTTGACTTACAACAGTTCGCTTAGTAACCGTTTGAAGTTATAACGGCACTGAAGAAAGTGAGTTATGACCATTTTTCACACGAATGACCGTTGCAGCATCCCCATGATCACGTGTTTTACATTCAGATGCTTGACAACTGACTCACATCTATGATGGTTGCAATGTGATCCCCTTTTGCAACCTTCTGACAAACGAAGTCAATGAGGAAACCAGATTCACTTAATAACCATGTTACTAATTTAACAATTGCTGCAATTCACTTAACAAATGTGGCAAGAAGAGTTGTAAAATGGGACAAACCTCACTTTAACAAATTTCTCACTTAGCAACATAAATTTTGGATTCACTTGTGGTCATAGGTTGAGGACTATCTGTACTATCTTTTTGCCATTCAAGGCAGAGTGTTCATTCATTTATTTCATCACAACAACCTTGTGAGCTAAGTGAAGCAAGGAGAGAATGAGTGGCCCCAAATCACCCACTGCGCCTCATATAGCCAAGTTAAGAATCTGAATGCAGCCTCTAATCAGTTCTGTGATGCTGCACCACACCAGCTCTTATCTCAGGAGCTGTAAACAAAATGCTGAGTTAAAACTGACTTTTGATAAAGACGGGCTAATAGGCAAAGCCCAATTTGCATTTGATTTTCATATGGTCTTTTGTTTAGCATGAGAGAGCTTTAGCTGGATTTTGTTTCTTAATTAAGGCTATGTCTACAAGTGCTTTTCTCACTCTGTATCCTCTGTAGTTTCACTAAGGTCTTTGTTTTCTTAACTCCATGTGTCCTAGAAAAACCACATGGAACACCTGAAGTTCTTCCAGCCAAATGCTTTAACAAATAGCAGAAAAATGAAACCACCTCTGAACATCCTATCTGTACCACCTGTATGAGGTAGCTTGGAGGAGATTTAGCCCCTAGTTTTTGTAAGGGGAAATGAGGCAGCAAAATACTGGATACTTTCTGCAAGATGGTTTATATACAGGTACTTCTCAACTTACAACCAGTCATTTAGTGACTGTTCAAGCCTACAATGGCACTGAAAAAAGTGACTTCTTGCGACTGGTCCTCACACTTACTACTGTCACTGCATCCCCATGGTCACATGATCAAAATTCAGGTACTTGGCAACTGGCATGTATTTATGATGGTTGCAGCATCCCATAGTCACGATCATCATTTTTCAACTTTTCCAGACAACTTCCCACAAGCGAAGTCAATAAGGGAAGCCAAATTTGCTTATTACAGTCATGTGATTCACTTAACAATTGCAATGATTCACTTAATAACCGTGGCAAAAAGCCATAAACTCAGATGTGACTCACTTTACAACTGCCTTGCTTAGCAACAGAAATTCTGGTCCCAATTGTCGTAAAAAATTGAGGACTACCTGTATTGGGGGTTACGTTCCATCTAGACTTCACTGTTTTTTTTCCAGGGCTGAGTACTGAGTTACAGAATTATGCCAGCAGTTTTTCCATAAATGAAAACTGCCCCAGTTATCTAAAGGTACCCTGATGCCTGAAAACAGTGATGACTATGGCAGTATGGCATCTCCATGAATCTTTAGCACACTCATAATGTTTTTAAACTCGGCACTGGATAAGGGCTTAATGTTCAAGATGGCACAAAGATGTTTCTTTCTGTATCGGAAAGAGAAAAAAAATACAAAGCATGAGAAATGATAGAGTTAAAGTAGCGAGAAAAATGGTGAGATGAGATGAGAAACAGAAATTTTAGCTTTGCATGCAGTTATAAGGAGCCAGATTGGTGTAGTGGTTAAGGCAGCAGATTAGAAACCGGGAGAGAGTGAGTTCTAGTCCTAACATAGGCACAACGCTATCTAGGCGACCTTGGGTCAGTCTTTTTCTGCCAGCTGTAGGAAGAAGGCAAAGCAAACTACTTCTGAAAAGCCGGTCATAAGTTGAGGACTCCCTGTATACCATCCAACTGCAGCAAATTTTGATATATATTGCATAGGATGGTTCAAGAAGACTCCACCTTTTCTTTCTGCTTCTGTCCTGCCTTGGAGTGACAAAAGATACAGTAAGTGTGGCTTAAATCAGTGCAGTGGAAATGGTACCCTGATGCCTGAAAACAGGGATGATGATGGTAGCGTGGCATCTCCACGAATATTTAGCACACTCATAATGCTTTTAAACTCAGCATTGAGTAAGGGCTTAATGTTCAAAATAGCACAGAGATGTCTCCATCTGTTTCAAAAGAGAAAAAACAAAGCATGAGAAATGAGAGAGCAACGTGGAGAAAACGTTGAGATGCGATGAGAAGCAATAATTTCAGCTTCGGATACAGTTATAAGGAGCCAAACTGGTGTAGTGGTTAAGGCAACAGGTGAGAAACCAGGAGACTGAGTTCTAGTCCCACCCTAGGCGCAAAGCTATTTAGGTGAACTTGAGTCAGTCTTTTTTCTGTCAGCTGAAGGAAGGAGGCAATGGCAAACTTTTTTTAGAAAAACCCTGCCAAGAAAACTCTGAGAATTGGATATGACTGAATGGAAGAAAAAAAAAACCCATTTGTAAAGGACAACAACAGATATTCAAAGCAAATGGAAACACGCTTCAACGTGCCCCTTTCAGCCACAAAAGCAGCACAGGAAAGAAGCATGAATGAAAAAGAAAGCAGCTCAGCAAAAAGTATTCCCCATGGAGAACTCAGTGTTGCTTGTTTTTTTCAGGATAGAAGCTGCATTTCTCATTCTATTATTATTCGTTATACATGGGGACTAATAGAAATTAGCTAAAGGTTTTCAAAACAACAACCACCACCACCAAGAAACTCCAGCTGACTTTTGGAAAAAAACACCTTTGGGACAACCATGACCTGGGTGACTGAGAACCTCCATAGACAACTTTGAGGGATGCAAAAATGGGATTCTGTTGTTTCAAAGGGGATGGTGGGAAATGCATGCATTTTCCATTCTAGTGTAGAAGGTGGTGTTAGTGGCACAAAATCAGAGGAATCAATTGTTATTGGGTTAGTCCTTAAAAATAAATTCGTAAGACTTTCTCCCCTTACTTGATATCAGGATATTTGCTGGCAAGTGCACTGACTTCAATCTTAATAGCGTCTGGATCTTGAAGTCTGATGATTTCAGCCAAGCTTGGGAGAGCAGACTCCAGCCATGTGGCATTAGACCCCTACCAAAAGAAAATACAATGTTTAAATATTTCACTCTGCAAATTCCTACCAATTATAAATTCTCTCACCCATATACTTCAAAATGCTCAAAATAAGAGATGGGCAAACCAAAGCCTCCATGCCCCCAACTTTTTTTTTTTTTTTGCAACCTCCAAAAACCACCTTCTCCCTCTTAGCAGCCTTATTGAAAAATAAAGTAACAGTTTTTATACAGGAAGAGATAATTTTGTAATCATGCTTTTATTTGCTTTATCTTTTCTTTTTGCACCATTGTCTTTTTTTCTTTTTTGTCTGGTTTTTGTTTTTTAATTCTGTATTAGTTAGTGTTAATTGTTATGTTCTATTTAAAACTTTCAATAAAATTTATATTAAAAAAATAGAAGTACACTTTTTCTTGTAAAAGTACAGGTAGTCCTTGACTTACGACCACAATTGAGTCCCAAAATTCCATTGCTAAGCAAGACAGTTGTTAAATGAGTCACATCCAATTTTATGACTTTTTGCCATGGTTATTAAGTAAATCACTGCAGTTGTTAAGGGAATCATACACTTGTTAAGTGAATCTACTTGCCCCATTGACTTTGCTTGTCAGAAGCCAGGTGGGAAGGTTACAAATGGTGATCACATGACCCCGGGACACTGCATGTCATAAATACATGCCAGTTGCCAAGTGCCCAAATGTTGACCATGTGACCATTGGAATGCTACAACGGTCATAAGTGTGAAAATCAGTCACTTTTTTCAGTGCTGCTGTTGCTTTAAAGCAGACATGTCACAGGATGTCGCACAACGTATCGGGACGGTTTTGCCATTGCCAGCAATAGGGTGGGTGCTTTAAAGAGTCATTAAATGAATGGTGGTAAGTCAAGGATTATCTGTAAAAGCAAGAATATATATATTGAACATCGAATAGGTGAAGCACATATGTTTTGCTTAAATAAAACAAATTCCTGAAATTGGAATAGGTGGTACTGAAAATTTCAGCACCACCCTCTCCAATGATGTAACCTGACTATGATAACACCCAAAATCAGAGAATGTTGGCTTGCAAAGCATGTACTCTGAACTGGTGTACAGTTCTTAGGAACTTTTCAGAAGGTCTGCCAAAATATGACTTCACAATTGGCTACCTGAGTTTAAACCTGTTTCTCCAAATCATTTGTTAAACCACAAAGCCTTTTCACTCTGAAGTGAACATTACTGGATGCTCCAAGGTCAACAAGGCATTACAGCACTGGAGTGCAGACTTACATTCTCTGTGCAAAATGTGTACAAAATAGAAGCATGACTTTGAATAAGTTCAGACAACTGATTTTGCTTCTCAGGAGATTTGAGTTTGGTGTACTTCCACATAAGCCTTTGAATGTATTTTTGGATTAGGTGGAGGTGAATTCTTTCCATGATAACCTATAACAGAAAAAGCAGAGGTTAATTTTCTGAGATCAATTACAGGGAAGAAAAAAAAATTCTATTGCCAGAGTTATAAAAATGTTATCAAAGGCTTTCCTGATGTACATAATTGGTTTCTCTTAAGACCAAATGGCTGGGGAGAGGTGTTCTAGACTAATGCTAGGAAACCATTTTTAATGTATTTCCTTAAAAAAAATCTCTTGGGGCTACATATTACAGGAAGTCCTCAACTTACAACCATTCATTTAGTGACCATTCAAAGTTATAATGGCACTGAAAAAAATGACTTACAACTGATCCTTGCATAATATGACTGTTGCAGGATCTCCAGCTAACAATTTCCAGCAACTCCATCCAGAGAGACTAATAGTGAGTGGTCCTGGGAGTCATAGTTGTAGTATCTGGAAGGTTCTATATGGCTCACTTTTAGTCTACACTACCTAGCAAGAACTATACAGTTTCAGATGGTTTTCCAGCACTACCTGGAAATGGTGAGGACTGGAAACTTTGGAATGCATAATATGAAGTCTGCCACCAAGTTACAATAATTGTAGATTATCTCCTGTCTCCTTACTCGGTATATACACTGCAGTTATCTCATTTTATAATGAAAATCTCATATAATTGGATTTAAGTCTATTATTCTTTGATCATTTTTTTGAAAGTATTTGGATGATTGTAATTATGGTTGTGAATGATGAGAAATAAACATTAAAACTGCTTATGCTGCTCCTCGACCAGTTCAAAATCCCATTAACCATCAATTTGATGAGCTAGTAAAAGAAAGGGGTGTCTGTTAAACCAGAATGTCTATTAAATCTGATTGGGATCTAATCATGTATTTTGTATATAATTTATTCATGGCAATTTTACATATTTTATGATATGCATAAAATAGAAATTTAATTTTATACAGGTGTACTTTACACATGCTTAAAACTATAGACAGGATTTATGTATGCACATATTCTGACCTGTGCAGAACAAAATCCTCTATACTGCCTTCTGCTGAGTAAATCAATTCATGAATGAGGGATTAAATGAATGGAAAGACAAGATTTAGAATTGAGCATGGTGTGAATCCTGACAAAAACAAGCCGAAGTCTTCTAGAAGACGAAAAAGAGGCTCCTATGTTGGTTTTACAGAATGGGACTCCAAGTGACATCAGCAGCCTTGATGTCCGCTCCAGAACAGCCTGACCTGGGAAATCTGGAATACTGTCATGTTCTTTTAAAAAATAGATGGAATAAGATTTTTAAAAAGGAAAAACAGTAATTGTCCTACCATTTTGTAATATTTCAAAATCAGGTAAAACATGTTTAACAAGGACAGGTGATAATGGAAAGACATGTGCATGCCATGAAAAGTGAAGTTTTTTTTAAAACCACATTTAACTCTTATTTGTCCATCTCAAGGTTTAGGTTGCAAGAATTGGCTCACTTCATTCTTACTACTAAATTTTGAAAAGCATAAAAATGTTTGCACTTGCAGTTCCTTGTATCAGCTCACCTGGCGATCAGGCGTTTTAAGGTTCTTGAACAGACAGATACGGGGCTCCATGACTGAAATTATTTCATCCATAATGCCACTGCACGAGGCCCATTTCTTTTCACTAAACTTTCTAAAAAGAGGCTAAGGAACAAATTTTAAAAGTTGTTCAGTTTTTTAAAAAGATATTCCCATAAATCTCCTTTCTTTCTTTGAGGAAAAACTTTATTAGATATTTTTTTAAGCACCGTCTAATTCTGCCAGTTTATACATGACTGGTGAAAAAGTACAAACTAAGACACTTTTGCTTTGTCCTTTGTCCTTCATAGCTCAAGCTATCACAGAGTGAGGAAGATGCTCCATTGCTCCCTTAATGCACATTATAATTTATTTATTATAAGTATTTTCATTCAGCTCTTCCCACACAGTCTTAAGATGGTTATAGACTTCTTTAATTACCTTTGTTCACTTTCTAAAAATGTTTTCCTGGGAGACAATATTTTTCCACTGAAGATTAAAGAGCAAGGATAACTATTCCATCAGGGAATGAGTAGTTTTCTGGGAGGCTGACAGACCTGCGGTTATTCTTCTTAATCCACCCCCATCCCCCCACCCCTGCTGTTGCCTTCCAGTGGAAGAGCAAACTATCATAAAACGTTGATTTTTGAAGTATAGTTGGATGAAGGTGCTTTTCCATCCTTAGAACTCCAGAGAAAGTCAACCATTAACCTTCACTGAATGGAGAAGGCAAGTTTCATCTTATGCTTTGCCTCAGGCAGCAAAGGATCTTGAATGAGCTCTGTAAGTAGCTTTGTAGTAAATATCTGTAAGAATACCTGCAACTCTTGAAATAAGGGTTGAAGGAACACACTAAACCCAGTGTTCTGAAGGTCATCAAGTAGGGAAAAGATTTTTGTTTTAACATCACTCTCAGTTGAATCAGTGCTTTCCTCCGTATGGGTCCTGAAAATCCAATTAAAAACGAATTAAAGGTATTGTTCTTCAGCTATTTTAAAACATCAGTTCTTTTTGCTTACAGCAACTTACAAAATCCGGTGAATACAATGCTATGCAATTCTTAACCAAAAAGTATGCATAATAAATGAGAATAATAACAGCAACAATAATCATAATGGTTGCTAATAATAATGTAATCTATTCAATTTAGATGTCGCCCAACTCCAGGCAACTCTGGATAAAGATCTGCATAAATTGCACATGTGTAGCACGTCTCAAAAAAAAGCAACACCTAGCCAACGTCTCTGCTTGGGAGCTAAGCAGAACTGAGTCTAGTTAGCACTTTGAGAGTAAACCTCCAGGGATTCTCAGGGCTATAAGACAAGCTGACTGGCAAATTAAAATAAAATCCAGAACATGAGGCCATGAAGTCATTACAATTGGAAGCTCAACTTGAAGGAAACTCTCCTTTTAGCATTAAATAAAGACGTTCATAACGAGTATTTGAAGCTTTCTGAATCCTGGCTTTTGGCTTTTGGCTAAAAGACTTGCGCTGCACAATCAAGACCACAATTCATCAGCAACCAATAGATATTTATTTATAGAATTTATATGGCTACCCATCTCATGCAACAATCCTAGGCAGCTCACTTTTTCCATATCTCTGCTGTTATTTGGGTTTCTGCAGCCCAGATTTAGTAGTCCTGCATTAGTATTACTGTATTCAAGCAGATGTCTGACAATCAGAATCTCATGAAAGGTTTAGTTCAGACAATTTCAAAAAATTACAAAACCAGAATAAAAGCAATTAAATGGAGAGATCGTCTCTTGTGGCTCCTATTGCCTCTGTTGCAAAAATTCGTGGCTCGCTTTAAGGCAAAGATTTCTATTATACTTGAACTGGGTTGGCTAACAAAGTGGGAAATATAAGCTAACTGCAAATCAGCTTCATTAAAGCAAATGGGTAGGAGACGCAATGAAATTAATTATATGATCTTTATTCTACCATTATAATGGGGAAAACATAATATCTAGGTCACAGGTGCTACCTTGCATAAAATAGTGTGAGCATGTTTAAAAAAACCCTGGACTTTGATGGCATTTGTGGCATGCTGCCCAAAATGTGGGAACTGACCACTTCCCTTACCTTTAGGAGGGAATGTTGAATGTGGCACTAGTATAAGAAATAAGCTGGTAAGATACATTATACCTTCTATCTTACTAAAAATATCATATGAAAGATTGAATTGACCAACTCTGTAATGGGCAGCAGATATTAATATATTTGAACCCATTCGGTGATGACTATGGTACACAGAAGACTGAAATTTGCAATATAAAAGGATTAAATATTAAAAACGATGTATTAACAAAAGAAGTAAGTGAAAGGAAAAAACAGGTAAATTATCTGTGAAAAGAAATGGGAAGAATGTAATAGCCTGAATGAAAGCAGACAAAACATGGGGAGTGGAACTGATAAATATATGCGGAGAAGTGAAACTGTATGTCTAATTGGGGCTACTCTTGAAGAGCATTCAGAAGCTACAACTGATCCAGGAGGCAGTGGCGTGGACAGTTTTGGAAGCCTCCTAGGGCGGCACATGTAACACCAATGTTACACAAGTTGCACTGGATGTTGATCTGCTTGTGGGTATAATTCAAGATGTTGGTTATTACTTTTGAAGTCCTTTATGGCATGGGCCCAGGATATCTGCAGAACTATCTATCCCCAATGGGATTGGCCCACCTCACTTGTGCTGGCAGAAGGGGCCCAATATGGATCCCATAAGCCAAGAAATTTTGGCTGGTGGAATCTAGGAGGAGAGCCTTTTTTTCGCCAATACTTCTGCCCTTTAAAACATCATACTGAGAAGTAAGATCTGCCCACTCAGGAAAAGCCATAAAATCTGGCTATACTGACTGGTATGAGGTCCTGAAGGAGAAGATGCTGACTGGAGGTGGTTGATACACTAACAGAGAAGGCACCACACCCTTCAAACTCTTGTTTTTTAAGCTTATTTTTAGCTCATTCTGTAATTTTAATCCATTTTTATTTATAATCATTGAATGATCGTTTTAATCTTGATGTAAGCTGCTAAGAGTTACCTGGACTTAGAGATGGGCAACAAATAAATTTGATAAATAAATAAATAAATAAATAAATATTATAAAGAGCTATATAATATCAGAAAACATTACATACTTTCATTTAGGTTATTATGAGTATGTATAAAAGTAGATATATCTGTTGGTGACAGTTTCATGTTGCTCTTCATTGAATGGGGACCTGGAAGAATTAAACATTGTGCAACCGTTTCTACAGATGTGATCCATGAGGAAATAATTATTCTGATGGACAACAAGAATGCATGGTGGAAACCAAGTGAGAGCATTTAGAACAGTGGTTCTCAACCTTTTTAATGCCGCGACCCCAACCGGTCGTAAGTCGAGGACTAAACCGGCCGTAAGTCGAGGACTAAACCGGTCGTAAGTCGAGGACTAAACCGGTCGTAAGTCGAAGACTACCCAGCCGGTCATAAGTCGAGGACTTTCCCTGCCCGGGAGTGCCGTGCATGCGTGGTTCTGCCCCCTGCGCCGGCCGAGGCGTAGCTGGCAAGCGGCAGAGACGCAGCAGGCCGACCACCAGCTAGCCCAGCCCAAGGGAGGTAAGGCACCCTCCGGAAAAGGGGAAAAAAATGGCGGACAAAAAAATGGCGGACAGCCTTGCTTGGTGACCCCCATGAAATGGTTGATCGACCCCAAATGGGGTCCCGACCCACAGGTTGAGAACCACTGATTTAGAAAAAACATTTGGCCTTTTGGAGACACAAAAATTAATGAGAACAGTATCTGTTTAGAAACATATCTGTTTGTTCTGAATAAATGGTTTAAGTGTATTCATATCTACACTTGGAAAAAATGAATAATAAATCCTGATTGATTTAATTGTTTATGATGAATGACTAAAAGAATTAGTAAAGGATACATGGATGAGACCAGACTGTTTCATAGATAATTTTCTGATATCAAGGTATGTTTTGGGAAAAAATGGACATGGAAGAAAAGGGGGGGGGGGAAGAAATGAAAGGAACTAGAGCAGGGATGTCACACTGGTGGCCCTTGGGCTGGATGTATCATGTGCAGGCCACACCCACCCCGCTCTGCAAAGGCAAAAAATGTTGCAATACATCACGATATGTCACATGACACGATCGAGTTTGACACCAGTGAACTAAAAGGAAAGTAGAATGATTGTAAATACTATTTGGAAAAAGTATAAGATGAATCTCCTAAGAGAATAGGTAGAAAATGGATGTAAGAAAAGGGTGGGGATGAGGAATTTGCTTGGAAGGGAACAAAAGAATTACATTATGAACTGCTATGGAAATGTGTAGTTATATGCTAATGAGAAATATGAAGAAGAATGCTTGGGGTAATGATGCACTGAAAGAGATTATGGATAAGAAAAAAAATTGAGAAGGTTCAAAATGAAACATTTTGCACAGCCCTACTATGTTTCTTGGTTTTCTAATACATATGTAAGAAATTTGTAGCACTATCATTCTGTTCTTACCGGAAATTCTCTAAATTGTTAATGTTTGCAATGATTATCGCTTCAAAATATTGATTGTGTCTATTTTCTCTAATGAATATCTCCAGTTTTTTCTTGTAGCTAGAGAGATCACAAAAATGAAAACAATCATTAGTAACTTTGCACTGGTATCCAGGCGTGCCATGATATGAAATCACTTTCCCAACAATTTGCTATCTTACCTTTGCAGAAAAGTCAAGAGTTCTTTCAAAAGCAAGGCTGACATTTGGTGGCCCAACACTGGAGTGATTTTCTTAGCAGGCTTTTGTACTTGATAAAACATCTAAAACATCCATCCCCCACAAAAAGAATTAGTAGTTTAACTTTTTAATACACAACTCTTCCATTCTACAAGCAAAATCACAAATGTAAACATTCCCTCCAACAGGAAACCAAAAAGATTTATTAGTAAGCAAAAGGGGATAAACCCAAAGAACAGAAAGAAATGCATACCATTTAAAAATTAAATAATAAAAAATTAATAAAATAAAATAAATAATAATAACCACCACCAACATCAAACATCCAGATCTGCCTATCCCAGGTCCTTGGTAAGGATTCGATAGGTAGACAAAAATGCCAAATCCAGTCTGAACATCTGGCTGACTGTGCGATGATCAATAATAATAATAATAATTCCAGAAACAAATAGACTAGGACTTCTGTTTTTGACCTCCAAATGTTATTTTGACCATGTTTTTCAACCTACTCTTCCATGGCCCATTCCCATCTGATTAGTACTACAAGCTTCCTCTTCCAGGCTGACTGAAACCAGGAAATTCCTAAGGACATTAAAGTGACAATGGATTTTTTGTGACAGTGTCCACACTTCTATTCCAGAATGACAAGGTTTCCCAGTTCTGTAATTAAGTACTTCCTGCTTATGTTATAAGCTGAACTCTGTGACTCCACTCCAGTAGTCAGGAATGTTGAGGACGTGTTTCAGCACACTTTCAAATGAAAAACAGAATAACTTTAATATGGAAACTTTGTTGGGAAACTTTGAAACTGGAATTTTGGAATTTGCACTGGTTTGCTATGTTTTAATGCATATTGTTTAATATTTAAAGCAGATTGGAGCTGAAACTTTTCTTTCTTTAAACCTGCCAAGTTAAAAGTTGCAATAGGATGTGGTTTGTTCCTCTGTGGAGCTGATGCAAAACGGTGAAATCCCAACTGGCTGAAGTTCTACAGAATCTGTAGATGGAGGTAAAGCAGGAAGCAGGTGGTGAAGATCACAGCTTAGGTGGAGGAAGCTTGCAGTGTTATTGGAACATTTTTAGGAAGAAAAAAAGGCAAAAAGCAGCCAAAGTAAAGAGTCAATCAAAAAGTCTAAATCAGAAAGGATGGGGTTGGCAAGTTAGACATGAATGGGTAAAAAGAAGAGTATTATGGACAAGAATCCAGTTGGCATGTCATCACTGCTGGGCATTTGATGCATGTCATCACCTTCTGATCTCAGCCCAGGTTCTCTACCTTCTGTGTCTGCATTTACAACTAATCTCATGGGCAGCCTAGTCAGGACTGGTCCCTTAACTGGAAATCTACATTTCAGTAATTTGCTTGGACGCTTCTTAAAAAAAACCCTCTTAATATAGAGAAAAAAATAATTATTTCTTGTCAGTGAAACTTCACTGTATCAATGTAATCTGCTTGCTTCTAGTAAAACAGACCAAATCTATTTTAGTTTTTTTATCTTTAATTTTCATTCTCACATAAAATGGGGAAAATTATGAATAGGAGACTTCCCAGTGTCTATAGGTCTATGTAGTATTTTTTTGGGGGGGGGGGAATTGTATGAGAATGTGAGTGTCAGAAGAATAGGGTTCAAATCATAGAAAAAATTGGATTTAAAATGGTCCTAATCAAACCCATGGATAAGAACATCTGGAATCTGTTTGCACAATTCTCAATAATAAATCAACCTAAGAGTTTATTAGGCAGTCCAAAGATCTGGAATGAGATGGTTGAATGAAGGAATATTGTAAATGTACCAATGAGCTTAATAGCGATTAGAAAGTTCTACATAAAGCCATCCACCATTTTCAAAGTTTTATTGACTTGCTGTAGTCAGGGTAGAAACAAAAATAGTTTTGCTTTCCATTTTTTTGTCCTGGCATATATTTTCCTTTTAATTCTACCACTGAGATTAGTTGAAAATTACTCTGCCAGACTCAACTATAATAGTGTGCCAGAACTGGGAATGGGCTGGTGGGGGAAAAAAAAAAATCCAGTGGAACTAAGATTGCTCTAAATGTCCAGGAATGCCTTGAGACTCCTTCCACTATCAGGGTAGATCTTTCCAAATGAATACTGTGGTCTTCTGGAACAAATTTTCAGGAGCTGATTGCACAATACGTACATAAACATAAAATACATGCTATTTACCTTTATAGCATCTATTGACAATTCACTATGAAAACAATCATTCAATATCTCTGGTTCTGTCCCTTGCATCCATTTCCTGACTTCAATTTCCAAAGATTTGTCCAGCCAACATCTAACAGAATCCTTTGTAAGATAAGAAGAAAAGACCAAATATACAATTAGCAGCTATCTCTCTAGAAATGCACATATTTAAATCTAATGTGCTCTTAAAATGACTGAATAGCAGCTCTGCTGCATGCTATGCTACAATTCCTCCACTAAATGAAAAAGTGTACATAAACAAGGATTTTGAATGCTGGGCTTCATACACAACTGAGCTACGTAGGGGTTATGGAATGAAAGCTAATACAGAGCCAAAACGGTCCATCTGCAACAAAATGTCTTCTGGAAAGTCCCACATACAACAGTGGTTCCCTTTCCAACTCTGGTAATAGCAGCACCTATAAATATTTAGGAATACATATTAACTTTTCTGTAATAGCCCTTGGCTTCCTACTGTGGTCTGCTGGGAACATGTGAGTGGAAGAAGGACAGAAATCAGCACCAGAGAGCCTTTACCCAATTCTGGGCTCTGGCATCTACAGAGCCTGGGACTGCAAGGAGCAGAAACATCTTTGCATCTACATTCCGAATTGTAAACTGCCCAAGAACAATGAGAAAAGACCTGATAATTGTATCAAAACAGGAATTGCATAGTGAAGAGAGTTCCTCTTTTTTCCATTGTATTAGCAGTGCAGTAGTTGGGGAAACCTGGGCTGGTTTAACCACATCATTCTAAGCTAAAGTTTGTTTTAACAATGGCTTATTAAATAACCCATAATAGCTGTAATGAAATGTGGGAATTAATCTGAAAAACGAAAGAGGGGAAGAAATGCTGCTTAGGGAACAATCAGATAAAAGGAGTAGTAGTCCACAACCGAGCAATGGGCAGAGAAATAAACTTAGAAAGGATCTGCTCTGATTAATCAGTTGGTAAAAAGAGACAGCGGGAGATTTGTACTTTTAGACTTGCAAGATTCCATTAATGTCTCCTTGTAATAAAGTAGGATTAGCTCACCTTGTTGCATTTTTTGTTTGGTCCATTTGGGAAGCTGACAGTAGCTTACAAGCAGCTTACAAACCACAGTGGTTTTGTTCAAATATCACATTAAATCAAAGCTAAAGAAACCAAACTATGGCTTCAGTACATGGGCATGGGGGGGGAAGAAGAATCCAAAAAGACAACGTGGTGGGTGTGAACACAGAATCCAAGCTTTGTTTGGGTTTGATCACAAGGTTGCACCTGCTATCTTGATTTTTTTTTACCTCAGATGAGTGAGATGTGAGAACTCAACTACTTTGAAAAGTGACAAGTTGTATCTACAACTAAAGAACAAATGTGGTACATTGCACAAATTCTTACATGAATATGACAAAGTTGCAAAGCTATGGAGTAAAAAATAACTAGAATTCTTACCACTTCATGACTCAAATAAGTCTGTTCAAGCTGTTTAATCTGTCCCAACGGCAACAAGTTCGCAAGACTAGCTTCATCCAACTCTTTAACTAAAACACTGTTGTTTTTAATGTCCCTGAAATAGCCAAAAAGTATCTCATCAGCTGGTAACATATTCTTTCCTCATTGTTTTATTCAATTTCCCCAAAATTCTCAATATAAAGCAGATGTGAAAGTAGGCTATCTGCCACTGAATGCTTGGATTCAAATGTGAAAACCACCCATATTGTATGACCAATATTTCAAATTTGACTTTTGAAGACTCCTCCTCTTCAAAAAATAATCGATACTGGCAACCTTTATAGGGACAAGCCAAGCTACTGAAACAGGTGGGAAATACATTTGAAATAAACCTTTTAAAAGAAGGCTAGATGAACCCACCTTGCAATAGGCAACAAATATAAAAAGCACTGGAGTTGAATTAGTGGGGAGAACTGAGGACAATTGTTCAAAGTTCATTGAAAACAGATACTGCTTTTGAATATCCATATCCGGTCATTGTTCTATTTCCTCAAACAGTAATTGAGGGCAGCTTACATTTACATATTTTCAAGACTGCCTTTTATGTTACAGCCAAACTTCTTGATAATCCCCATAAGAATCTAAATAGACATAACAACGGTCTCCATTATTGAACAGATTCAACTGTATATCAGTGTAACAGGTAACAATGAAAGATGCATTCTTAATCCTATTCTGATCAACACAGGGCTGCTTTACACCAGCTTAAACTATTTGTTTATCTACCTCAGCATTATTTTCTAGGGATATAATATTTTGTTGATCTCAACTCCAGTAATATTCGTGGTTTTTTTCAATCATAAGTCTATTATAATTTGTTTTTGTTATCGGTTTGTACATTCCTTAAAAATTTGCATGAAAAATGGTATAGATTTTCAGAAGAATGCATTTTCAAATTTCCCTGTCAATGTGCATTTTGACAATTTCCTTTAAGGCAGTGGTTCTCAACCTTTTTAATGCCGTGACCCCAACCGGTCATAAGTCGAGGACTAAACCGATCGTAACTCAAGGACTAAACCGGTCGTAAGTCAAGGACTAAACCGGTTGTAAGTTGAGGACTACCCAACCGGTCGTAAGTCGAGGACTTTCCCTGCCCGGGAGCGCCGCGCATGCGTGGTTCCGCCCCCTGCGCTGGCCGAGGCATAGCTGGCAAGCGGCAGAGACGGAGCAGGCCGACCACCAGCTGGCCCAGCCCAAGGGAGGTAAGGCACCCTCCGGAAAAGGGGAAAAAATGGCAGACAAAAAAATGGCGGACAGCCTTGCTTGGCGACCCCCGTGAAATGGTCGATCGACCCCAAATGGGGTCCCGACCCACAGGTTGAGAACCACTGCTTTAAGGCCTATTTTTAACACATTCTGATGGAATTTTCTCTTCATGCTTCCATTTTTGTACTCATTTTTAATAGGAATCTCAAAATTGAGTGCCAATTACTTTCCAAATCAAGAGGTTACTGGATAAATTACTGGTATGTTTCTGGCATGATTCAAGATGTTGGTTATGACCTATGAAGCCCTACATGGTGTAGGGCCTGATTACGTGACTGACTGCTTATCTTCCGTGACATCATACTAACTAGTTCATCCAACAAGCTTTGGTGGACTCCAAGTCACTTCAGTTAAACAATGTGATCTAACAGGACCACAAAAGTCTATCTCCTCTGGAGTGATGCCTGCATCTGGGATGAGATTCCCTATAATATTTATGCTGGCATTCTAGAAAGCCTTAATAACCTGTTATCCTAGGCTTTAGAGGTTAGTTAGTTGGATCCCTGCTAAATTATATGTAATTATACTTAATCAGACCCACCATCAGCTTTTGTTTTCTCTTTTATTTTTTATAATTATATTGTTATGTTTTATTATTATATCTTTATTAAGAGCCGTGGTGGCACAGTGGTTAGAATACAGTATTGCAGGTTAATTCTGCTGAGTGCCAGCAGTTTGATTCTCAATGGCTCAAGGCTGACTCAGCCTTCCAACCTTCCGAGCTTGGTAAAATGAGGACCCCGATTGTTGGGGGCAATATGCTGACTCTGTAAACCACTTAGAGAGGGCTGTAAAGCACTGTGAAGCAGTATATAAGTCTAAGTGCTATTGCTATTGCTACTGAATGCCAGTTTTATTGTACCTTGCCTGGAATTGATTGGTGTCTAAATTGGTAAAACCCAGATAAAGTATAAATCATTACTTACGTTGGATAGAAATTTTGCACCCAGCTGAGAAGAAGGTAAATGTCTTCTTTGCTCAATTCAAACTCAGCAAACATCTTCATCTGAGATGAAAAGTAATGGTGGTAGAACTTGGCATAAGTGTTGCACACCTGAAAATGCTCAGGGTAATGGTGTTTAATATGCTGCACCACTGTGATCATGTCATCCTTCATAGTCTCACCCATATGCAAGAAATTGTTAGCAGTGGTAGAGAGGTCCTTGTTATCAACCAAAGGAGGTGCTTTCATTCGTTCTTCTATGGATTTCTGGATAGTGTTCCTCCATTCCTCTTTCCATGTTCTGAGCTGCGAATGAATAGATCGCTCCTCCTCCTCCTCTACCCAGTTAATTATTGCTTTCACTGCATTATTCAGCAACTGTGGCTGTGCTGATGCTATGCTGATAGATGACTGTATGATGCTGAGGACCTCTTGATATAAAAGTTCTAATAAATCCTTAATTTCAGTCTGATTGCCTAGTGTTTCTTCATCATTTCTGCTGTCCAGATTGCTGTTGGATTGTTTTTGCATGACAATGAGATGTTGGCTGGCTTCATAAAAATGTTGGCTCTTAATCAGCATTTTGATTTGGTCAACTGGTAAAACAAAGTAGAAACACTATGGTAATATCATGTGACTGATAGGTTACTAATTCATTCAAGTTATATTTCCCCAATTTCAAGTTAAATGTACTCAGAGCAGTTCATAGTCTAAAAGTGTATGTAGTGTTTTTTTCAAGGAGATAACAAATTTAGATTGGCTTCTTAGCTACGCTAAATTTGTTCTCCATGACTTCAAGTTTTCATCTTAAAAAGGAAGAAAAATACTTTCTGAGTATGCTGTGTTGGGATGAGTCTTATCTTTCACAGTGGAGTGGTTGAAGGATCATCCCAATCTTATACTACTTCAACCAAGGAAAACCATGTGAGAGCTCACCTTGATGGCATCTCAGCTAAGAAAAAGAAATCCCACAGGATTTCTTGACTTTAATAAGCTTTTAGTATCATTTTGGACTTATGCTTCTCAAGGATGCAAACTTTCTACCAGTAAAAACTGAAATAAGCAAAGACAAAAGACTGGTTTAGGAGCCTTGTATATTGCTAATTCTTTATTTCCAACTGTTAAAACATTTTCTATTACTTTATTTTGTTGAACTGATCAGCCCAGTTTGAAAATAAATGTAATGCACCATTCAGGAAGTATCTGTTATTCTGGATGTCTACAATCCAAAATATGTCATTTGTAGAGATTTATATCATTTGCATTGTGGCATTATTGTACAAATGGTGCAAATAGCTCTTGATCTTATAAAAATATTGTAATCAATTAAGATCATTTGCAGAATTATATCAATATATAATTTACATGCATTTAATTGCTCTGTCTGGATACAAAGAATTTGCATTCCATGGATACAAAAGTATTTTCTGTTATTTGGGAGTGATATCTGGATCAACATTTTGACTACTGCAAAGTTGATTGCAGTGTACTTCTATTAAACTGTGGTTGGACTGTATCTTAGTCGGGTATAAAGTTGTGTTTCTGATACTCCAAAATCCATTTGATTTTTTTACTGAACTCCTTTATGATTAATAATAATCAAAACAAATCAGGAGCTCACTGGCAGAAGAATAATGTTTTTCTCTGAAGTGTTAATGGGTAGCAGTTGCTCTGTGTCATTTCTATGAACAATGATAAATGATATGTACATCAGCACAATTTTATTGTAAATCTGTGATGCAGCACATGCAAAGACCTGTAAAGAACCGAGACTTATTTTTTTAACCTATATGCTGAACATACATTAAGAGAAGCTGGAGTAGAAGAAGCTGAGCATGGTTTTAAAATTGGAGGAAGAAACATCAATATCGCGTTGTGTTGATATCTGATAGCTGGAAATACAAAGGACCTGCAGGCTCTAATAATACAGGTTAAGGAAGAGAATGAAAAAATGGGACTAAAATTAAATATAAAGAAGACCAAAACAATACCAATAGGTGTTTTAGCTTTAGAACTGATAATGAGGATATTAGGATGTTGAAGTGATAAATAGCTTTTGGCTTAAAAAATTGACCATCAACATTAAAGGAACAAGCAGCCATGAAATATGCTACAGACTGGCACCTAGTAGAGCACCTTGAATACCTTGGAAAGGATATTCTGATGTCATGATGTGTCCATACTTGTCAAGATCAGAATAGTGCAAGCAATGGTATTTCCCCTTGACACTCTATGGAACTGAAATGGTATTTCCCCTTGACACTCTATGGATTTTGGAGAAGCAGAATAGGAAAAATATTGACTCTTTTGAAGGCTGATGTTGGAAAAGACTCCTGAGAATTCCAATGGACAGTCAAGAAAACAAACAAGTGGATCACTGAACAAATCAACCCAGAGTTCTCATTTGAGGCACAAATGGCAGGCTCAAATTATCCTATTTTGGACATCTTATATGAAGACGTAGCTCTCTACAGAAGGCTCTAATGCTGAGAAGGCTGGAAGAAAAGAGAATACAAGGACAACTAGTGGCAATGAGTGCACTGTTGGAAGACTTGAAGGATCAGGTTAGAAGAAAATCTCTATGGTCATAAGAGTTGACGCTGTCCTGATGGCACATAATCAATCAAAAGATTGATAGTAATAATGTCAGGAAAATCTCTTTGGCAAGGAATTCCAAAAGTAAGTGTTATCGCAAGGACCTTCTATCTAGCAGCCAGCTAGTAACTCTGTAGTTGGAGAATCATGGATGAATCTCTTTCTCTATTCAGAGTAGCCTTGAAAAATATCACAACTTCTCTTCTTCTTTCCGCTCCCAATCCTATTATTTTTTTAAATATGTATGCTGTGAAGAATATATTTATATTTAAATATATATAAATATATATAAATATATATATATATATATATGGATCTGGGAAGCTAACAATTAGTAACAAAATTTTAAAAAGCCAAAATTAATAACAGTACCAACAGCATAAAATAGAAAATGAGAACACTCAGAACATCTCACATTCCAATTAGCCATGAAGTGGGCTCACTCACATTATCAAGGCCTCAGGCCAGATGGTAAAATCAGGTTTTAAATACCTTGTGAAAGGGCAGTGGGTGAGTGGGTGGGTGGACAGGGGATATTTAAAAGGGGATGATTTCAGGGTAGGAAGATAATCCAGAGAGCATAAGTCTGTTTTTAATTGATCCCAGTGGAAAAATTGTGGTAGATATTAAAAACACATTTCTGAAAGTTAATAACAGTTTGACATAGGGACACTTAATTAAAAGAAAATGTCTTCTCTTTTGTGGATCATGTCATTCCTTAGGGATGAAAAACGTTCATATATCATGCATCAAGTATCAATTGGACCTGATAGTCTACATTACCGTCCTACTCTATCAAAACCCCACTAACTATTTCAAATGTCATTTTCTTGCATGGTGGCAGATATAATTTTCTAAAACAAGAATGAAATTTTCAAGATGTCTAATTCTAGTGAAATTTCAGCCAATTCACTTTTGAAATTTTGTATTTCACCATTTAATTAAAAACATTTTCATTTTTGAGATTCTGTGGATACTTTTGAGTGCTTGATGCCTACCTTGCCAACTCTTCTTGTAAATCTACAGCTGGGACAATAATATATAGCAGGGGTTTCCAAACCTGGCTGGCTGAGGAATTCTGGGAGTTGAAGTCCACAAGTCTTAAAAGGTACCAAGTTTGGAGACCCCTGAGATATAGCAATATATCTCATTATATACAGGCTGTCCTTCCATATGGTCATTCTGTACCTGTAACTGGTTGACAGTTTTCCTCCTGAGGTTTCTTTTCTTTTCTTTTCCCACCTTTGTCAAAAAAATAATGAACACTTTTTTTATTAGTCCTTTTTTATGCTTGTTTTTTTTTCATAAAATTATTATTTTTAATTGAACAACAAGTACAAATGATGCATCTACATACACTAGCAAGAAATAAAAATAATCTTACTCAAAACATTTTCGGATACGCTCGGCAGTCCCCGCCCTGCCTCCCTCCTCATCCACTTTCCTCTCCTTCCTCCCCCTAAACCCACAACCTCTCCTCCTTCCTTCTTGCCACCTCCCTACATCCCCTCTGCCTTCTTAACCACCTCATCGAGTGCAGATTGGGGTACTAGCCGAGCATATCCTCTTATTAATACAATTCCATTATAAACCTATAATAATTAAATACATCAATTTATAATTTCCCCTTAATCCCCTCCCCGACTTCCCAGAACTAATTACAGGATTAAACACACCTCATAAAGCAATCAATTATAAAAGAAACTTTAACTCAAATAATAAAAAAACAAAAATTATACTCTATTTTAACACCAAAACTCAAAATATAATTATCCATCTTCCCCAAATCCAAATATCTAAAAATTAAACTTTACCATTTCTCTTTTAATCATAGTCCTTGCCAACTCTTCTTGTAAATCTACAGCCTGGACAATAATATATAGCAGGGGTTTCCAAACCTGGCTGGCTGAGGAATTCTGGGAGTTGAAGTCCACAAGTCTTAAAAGGTACCAAGTTTGGAGACCCCTGAGATATAGCAATATATCTCATTATATACAGGCTGTCCTTCCATATGGTCATTCTGTACCTGTAACTGGTTGACAGTTTTCCTCCTGAGGTTTCTCTTCTTTTCTTTTCCCACCTTTGTCAAAAAAATAATGAACACATTTTTTTATTAGTCCTTTTTTATGCTTGTTTTTAACATGTTCTGTTTCAGTGACTTCCAAAGGCGATTGGGAAAAATGTTCAAGGGGAGGAGTCTGCTTGTGGTTTTCAGGATGGGCTTCTTCAGAGGATGATTCAATTGACAATGAATCAGGTTCTGATTCAGAAGATGTTGAAGGTTTGGGTGTCTTCTTGTTTTCAGTCTGTTTAGCAGGTTTTGGAGGACTGCTATAGAAAAGGGGCATTGATTTTAGCATCTTCTTCTAGAGAAGACCCTGCAAATTATATTAAGAAATTATCAGACTCCATAATTTCCATTCAGTAAGTAAAAAGACAAGAAATACTGTAGGAAAAATAGAGATAAAACATTCCCAATATACTATGTTAAATTATCACCATTAGTTGAGAAAGCAAAAATATTCTGAGATGCAAATAATAATGTTTAACATTATGTTACAATATTTGCACTATATGGTATTCTACGATATAAGTGATAAAATAGATGAAATATTGTAGGTTTATAAAATATCTTTTGGTATTGTGAGTTCAAAGGTTTCAATATTGTGCAGACAGTCCTCAGGTTACAACAGGAGCTAGGGCTGGAATTATCATCACTAAGCAACTCATGTCACATGACCATGTTGCTTAGGTACAGCAGTTTCAGCAATCCCAGCTGTGGTGGTTTAAACAAAGGCCACATGGGTCATTAAACGAGGACCTCAAGTGACTGTGACTTTTGAGCAGTTTCCCCGCTGACCGCTTATGGAAGTCAGCAGGGAATGACTTGAAACCACAATCACATGTTCACAGCTCACAGTGACATCATAATTACAAGCCAGGAGTCAAACATCCAGATTGCAATCATTGGGACCCAGGGACACTGCAACAGCCAGAACTCCATTGATTGGTCTTAAGTCCCCTTCATTCATCAGCATCACAAGTTTGAACAGTAGTAGAAAAAATGTAACCTGAGAACCACCTGTATATGAACATTCTTAATATGCAATAGGAAGCAAAAGTTATATTTATTGTAGACCCTGAAATCATATTTGTGGGAAGGAAGAGTAAAGCACACAATTCATTAATCGCCATTGATCAGTGGTGTACTTATAAGGATCCCCAAGGACTTTCGGGGCTCTAGTGCAAGTAAGCTCTCCTTCTTGTTACTGGGATAGTCAGTCTGCAGTTTGTAATCTTCGCAATAATTGTTTGTGGAATGGCATTATACTCTGGAATTCTGGGAGTTGAAGTTAACACAAGTTAAAGTTGTCAAGGTTGAGAAACATTGCTCTGTCCTAAACTGACACAACATGGCTTGCTGGAGAATTCTGGAAATTGAAGTTCACAAGTGTTAAAGTTGCCTAGGTTGGACACCTTGGTATACATATACTTCTTTTAACTAAAGAGTTAAAGCAAGCATTTACATTCTTCCACAGTAGCTCAAAAGTTGCAGAAAAATGTATTAACTAAATCATATTAAGCAATTTTAGAAAAAGCTCCCTAACCTGAAAAATATTTCAACAATTACTCAGAAATCGTGGAGGGCTCCCATTCACAACATGTGTTCAAAATCCATCAAGCTCAATATTCATCTTTTTGCTGGATTTATGCACTGAATATGAGGCTCAACATTAATAGTGTTTAAGTGCTCTTTTCCAATTACAGGATAGTAAATTGAAATATTAAATACAGAGCATGGAGCAATTGAGAGTCCATGTGGAAGAGGCCTGCCATCTTTCTTTGCCAGCCTCTTTCTTCTTCAGTTCTACCAATTATCAATTTTCCCCAATCTTATGTTCCTCCAGATACATTGGATTGCACATGTCCCCCAGTTCAAAATATCTAGAGCAGGGGTCCCCAAACTATGATCTGTGGCCCGGTACCGGGCTGTGGCCTCTTGGCCACCGGAATAGCTGGCAAGCCCCCCCCACTCACATTAGCACCGTGTGGATGTGGTAGCACTGCCACCAACATCACATGGGCATTAGTGGCACATTTGCACATGCGTGTGGGCAGCAACGTGCCACCGCAGGTATGTGCAGCCCATTTATGCATGTGCACACATTAGTGTGCCACCATGCATGTGCCTGTTTGTGCGTGCGCATACACGGGCCATGCACCTGCACATTTCTCTGCTCCTCCCTTCCGGGCCACCAAGCTGGAAAGGTTGGGGACCTCTGATCTAGAGAATACTAGGTTGGAGATGGCTGCATCATTTATTTCTTCATTAATCATTTTTAAACTTTCTGCTGTACGGTACTTTCTTTCTGTAATTGAAATTTGGATTTTAAGTACCTTTAAGGCTGAATCTATGTTATGTTTTAGTTTATGTTACTCTTTATGGGGAAACCACTGGTACCTCATAAATCGTAGTACCGAAAATAACTAAGATATAATGAAAAAGGGCATGGCATTTACTTCTGGCAGTAGCATTTTTAAAGGACAGCAAATATTTCGCTACTTCATTTGCTTTCTGCGTATTTTTATTACTTTCTTGTCTCCTGTGCCAAAGCAATGTGGCAGTTCGGGATACATTGTAATGTTTGCTCCATCTTACCCATGTATCTTGGGTTAACCCTAAATATATGCAATGAAAGCAGATTATCATATCAAGAATATGTTCTGCTGATGAAACATTTTGCAGGTGACTATAAGTAATTCTGGTAAATACTGCTGACTTTTGTCCACCTCCACTGCAGACAAGTAGAATGTCTGTATATTCTCAATTATCTATGCAAAATTTTTTTGTTTTCCCTTGCTAAATCTATGCACAACTGACAAGACTACAGGTTTATTCAAGGCAAAATTTATCCCTAAGGCAGAGGAAATGTATAGTGACTTAAAGCAAAATAATGACTGACAAATACATGAGCAGTAATCACTGTAGAATAATACCTTTTATTTTTAATCTATTGTTTATTTTTCTTGTGGTAGAAAAAAGGGAAATATTGACAGCAAGGGAGGAATACAACCATAATCTAGCTGTAATTGCATCTCAGAAACAATGGCTCTATAATTTTCCAAGTTTAAAATGATACCTAAGAATTAAACGATGTGAAATGCTTCCTTTCCCAAACTACAGTCCAAAATACCTATAAATGCAGACTTTTTTTTAAAAAAAAAAATGTAACATGTACTGTACTTTGATACTCACAAAGAATTGTGCGTTAGTCCTTCAGAGCAAAGTGCCTAAACAATGATGCCTTCTTTGGACTATAGTGTGAACTATTCCTTGCCATTGATTGAAACTGAAGTCTAAAACATCTGGGTAACTTTATGGTTTATATTCAAAACCATTACAATTAAACACTGGATTGTCAATCCATCCTAATGCATTTTTCCCCACATCACATCTATACATTCTAAGAGAATATATACTTTCAAAAGTTGCTCAGCTTAATTAGTTTGAAAAGACTATAAATTTATTTTATCCTATTTTTCATTATTTTTTAATAAATAACTCAAAGTTGTGAACATACCCAATATTCCTTCGTCCTCCTCAATAACCACCTGAGGTGGGTTGAATTGAGAGTGACAGACCCAAAGTCACTCAGCTGGCTTTCACGCCTAAAGTGGGACTAAATTCAGTGTCCCAGTTTCTAGCCTGGTGCTTTAACAACTAAACAACTAGATGAAGCTGATTCTCTGCTGAAGGATTTAAGCTCTGCGCAAGCGCAGGGGCAGAGCTGAAATCCTTCAGCAGCAAGTTCAGTCAGCCAGTCCCAGCTAGCAGCAGCTTTTCCACTGACTTTCTAAGGAAAGGGTACAAATGACAATAACATGTTTGTGGGGAACTTGGCAATCATTCATAAGTGTGAACAGGTTGCCTAGCACCTGATCCTGTGACTGGGGGGTTTGGTGCAATGTTTTATGACAGTTGTAAATCACCAGAGACCATTGTTAATATGTACTGTCATTAAGCAAACGGTCGTAAGTGAAGGACTATCTGTATAAACATTAGGATTAAATAAAAAACAGTTCAAAATTTAAGCATCAGAAGCGCATCAAATCAGTTTCATTAATCCCATTTTTAAAATGTTACAACAGAAATTTGGTTTATATCTTGCAAAAAGAAAGGAGGGAGGGGTATTCAAGAAAATTTAAAAAAAAACATTTGACACTAGAACA